CAATAAGGATAGTGGGCAAACAGTAGAGAAAGGACTTCCACAACTCCTTCCTCCGTTCAAACATTCTTTCGTGTACATAAAATGCAGTTCTGAGCTCACCTCCTCAATACAATGACATTCACCACATCGCAAAGCAGGGCCGATCTGTTGGCTTTTATCGGTTAACCAAACCCATGCTAACCCAAATTCCAAAGATATTGTGAGCCTTATTCTTATGTCTTGATTTGTTGAGCAGAAGTAGGAGGCCAATTTTACTCAAGTCCTGTTCTAAATGTTTATTCTGTTTCTATTTTCTTACTTCTCTCAATCAAAGTTTCCATTACAGCAGTCTTGAAGATTGAAAGATGGGCAAGTCTCTTAATGATATCGAAATCGTACTCAATCCGGATCAGAAACATTGGATAGAAATAATCGAATGGGTGAGTTGGGTACCTTAGCACCCCTACTGGTGGAATATTCTATAACTACTCCCCAAGCTTACAGTCACATGGGTATTAGACAGGAGGCCCGTCGCGCGGCAAGAAGGCAGAGTCAGCGGACGAGTCGCAGCGCGTGTGTGCGATGTAGGACGTACAATGGTACATTCTATTTAACTTGACGCGAAATCCCTACAGTACGCGCTGTAACTCGTCCGCTGACTTACTTCTTGCCGCGCAACGAGCCTCCAGTCGGGTACCTCTAGTGTTCGGGACCGAGATAAGCTAATTGCCCTAATAAGCTCGTTTGCTTAAATTCTGCGTCGGCTAGGATACTAAGCCAATAATAGTCTGGTGTTAAAGTGGGAACTATAGCTAAATGCATTTCAGTGCCAAAAAACAGAAGGTTGGATGTTCACGGCCGGTGATTACAAGACATGGCTTGAATCCTTCGAGAAGTTCTGGCTTTTCGTTGGAATTGACAAAGGTGAGTTAAACTGGAGTGATAGTTCAGTAGTATTAGTTGATCACCATCACAAATAAATCAAATATCCTGCTCGATGCAGAGTCCAAAGAGGCCGTCGGAAGCGTGTCTCTCAGCTTCGATCGTTCTTCAAATGGAAACGAAGAAGATGATATCTACTATGTAGGTTTTACTTCACTCTACTCCTACTCCTTAGCACTTTCGATTTATCTCTGCATGAAAGCTCCACTCTACAAAAACTTCGGTAGCTTGATTGGCTCGCCCATGGAAAATTTTCGATTCTATTATATTTACCCATAAATCTTATCCAATCATTCACGAAAATAACGAAAAAAGTTAAAAAAAATAAGGTTTGTTTTCGTAAACATTTCGACAAACCCGAAGAACTATTACGCGTTCAGATTTTCGTCGTACACCTGTACAAATTTTAACGCGAGAATGATTCCACTTGGTTCTCGGAGTGCCTTCACTAGAAACTCCTTTTTTTGCCATTTCACATATGGCTAATTAACATTTTTCTCTTTTCTGTTGCATCCTCGATCGTTTTGTATCTAGTCTCCGAATTCAAACGAACCCGATTCTTTCAATGCATCGCCTGATATGTGGCCTAGACAAGACACACTCTATCCATGCGTCTCCTTGATTCCTCCTGACCTACTCTCGACCGTCCATGGAGTGTGGTTTTCGTAAGCTTGCTTATCTTCGGAAACTTCCATCTTGCGTGAAACTTTGTAGGTCGTTTCTAATGTTTGCAACTGATATACACATGTGGAAAAGGATTCCTTTCCCACATGTGTATATCAGTTGTATCGGAGAGATGCGGATAAGGATAAAGGATAAAGCATTTGCCGTTGATCAATCCCTTTTTGGGATGCGGCACGCATTCTACTTCCATTTGTACATTCGTAGTGGCGTTTGAATGCGATGTGGCCTATACAATGACTTGCGGGGGCCAGCCGATGTCAAGTCAGTGTTTTTATCCTCCCAGACAAGTCTGGTACCAATTAACCGACCCCGGAGGGATGGAAGGCTTGGTTGGCCCGGGCGACTCACGACCAGGGTCAAGCGAGGCGTCGAGGAAAATTCGGAAATACGACCCCCCCTCCCTCTGCCGAAGGCCGAAGTCCATGAAACAACCCTCTTTAAAAGCCGAACTATGAAAAAGTTGTTTAATTCTCCACCAAAACTGCTCATAAAAAAGCCCTGCTACCCCATCGTCCACAAAAAAACTCGTTTAAAAAGTATAAAAGTGAAAAAGTCAAAGAATGATCATTAATGACGAGTCCTGTCAAACGAGCAAACGAGAAACGGAGCAAAAAACGTCAAACTAGTCACTAGAAATGGCGTACTATGACAACACCTCTTCTTTGTTTATTTCCTCCACAAGACTTACCAAATTCTAGTACTACACAGATTATGGTTCTCAATTTACACGTCCCCCTTTCGCTCAAAGGAAGCCTTGTAAAAGCCTTCGCCAGCTGTGTGTTGACTGGACTTTGGCGTTGACCGTGGAGCAGCTTATTTACTATTGAAATTTGAACAAATATTCAAATGATTATAACTTTCTTCAAAGTTAACGAATTTTCAATCTGAAAGCTGATTTGGGAGTTTTGTGAAGAGCTTTTTCTAATCAGTACTGAAATTACAGGAAGTTATAAGAAATAACAAATTTAGATCAATAACGAGGAAAATTCGAGTTCAAAAAGTTGATACGTCATACAAAACTAGAAGATTTTCTCTATCAAACGGTCGCTAAAGCAGCTTCATACGTCCAGTACTCAAAAAATGGCCACGTTGAGGATTTTTGCAAAATTAACGAGGAAAATTCGTGATGAGTGCGAGTTTTTACGCTTTCCAAAGCCATAACTCCGTTCAAACTCATGCAATCTGGAAAGTTAATACGTCATCATAAACTAGAAGATTTGCTCTTTCTATAGGCAACTAAAACTGCTAAATACGTTCACTATTTAAAAAATGGCCACGTTGAGGATTTTTGCCCGAGTACCGCCGAAAGGTACTTTTTCGCTACATTAGCACTATCCCAACGACTATAGCTCCTTGCAGGAGCGATTACATACTGAAGTAGGAGCAGATTCAAAATCCTCGTGCTTTTCTCTCTGCAAAAAGTGTAAAATTGTTTAGCGGGTCTCAACTTTAAAGGTTACATGCTTGTGAATTTGACGCTGAAGGCTGCGTTTCTTGTTGAATAGTGTACTCCTCTCTGTAATTTAACATGAACTCTTTCAGAACCCTCTTGATTCTTCCTGAATTAAGATTCGTTATCAAGATAGCCGTAGCTGAAGCGCGCGCAACCAACTGGGCCCACTCTGGGATGCGCCGTGTGCTTCACATCTCGTTGGATTTGAGGACCTACTTGAAAGATAAAATATCCCTAGAAAACGTGCGAATTTCGGATCCTTTGACTTGTGTGGTGATGAAACACTAAAGTCACTAAGAATTGCTAAGCGGACACCTCTAAATCACGAAGATTTTGTGTGGACGGAATCAATTGTTATTGGAAATACTCTGGCCTGGTATCGATTCGATCCTTAATGTTTGTCCTCCGACGATGATCCTACTGTATCAATCGGGCCCGATCTCTCCCCAGCGGGCCAATACGACCCCCCCCCCCTCTGTGACATGTCGAGGATTCCTCAACGCACGCTTGACCCTGCTCACGACCCAGGATTTGATTCCCGGACCGCTCGCGTGGTGAGCGCGCCACTTGTCACTACACCACTTCCGCCCCAGCATAAGATAATATTGAGATGCGCTATAAATTCGCCTTCCTTAAAAATGCTGTCATTCTTGAATGCTTGTACACAAGTTGTCTTGTGGAAGGCGAGCTGGAATGCACACAACACACGCACCGCTGTAACTGTGAGCAAGTAATTTTTTGCACACCCTGTATGAGGATGGAAGGCTAGGAGGATTCTCCAGTTCCATTGACAACAATGGTTCACTTACGCAGGAAATGATTCCGTTCTCTACGCGCTAGTCTGAGGAATCATTGTTTTTAGGTGAAAGCAGATGTGATAATAATGTGTGAAAAATGAATGTTGAGGAAAAGTATACAACTGTTTGTCGCGTCTGATTAAAGGAATCCTGCGCGGAAAATTCTTGCACTCTTTCCTAACATGAATATGTCAGTTGTGATCACTGGAAATAGCACACAAAGTTTCACGCATGAAGATTCGGTTTCTGAAGAGAAACAAACGTACAAAAACTACACGTTATGGACCATCGAAGGACCAGGAGGCAGAGCCAGGCGAGGCATGGAAAGAAGACGGCGTTTGGCCGGCTACGTACCAGGCGACGCAATGAGAGAATCGGGTTAAAGCGCGCGATTTCGGAGAGTGGAGACAAATCGATCGATGGAATAGGATGGAGTAGAAGTGTAAGATGTGAATGCAACGAAGCAGAAGGCCAGAAAGAGCTTCTAGTGAATGCACTCCAAGAACCAAGTTTGAGCATCCCCGTCGCCAGCATTCGTGAAAGACGTCCGTGGGCAATTCGAACGCGTAGCAGCCTTTTCGAGTTTTCGAATTTCTAATCAAAACGAAAGCAATACTTCAGTTCTTTTCACTATTATCGTGGATAATGAGTCTCAAGCCAGTGATTTATGGCTGAAATAGAATCATGATTTTTCCGCGCAAGATTCCTTTAAGGGGGTGTACGGATTTGACGCGGCGGCGGCTGGCGATACTGCAGACGTGCGAAGCTTTTTTCAATTTGTTTTGCTGACTCCCAGCGAGGTGTGGTAAGAACAGCTTATCACTAGGGTAAGCGTCCGTTCGTGCTAGTCGAATGAGAGGATCGCAGTTGTGATATGGGGAAGGATAGTCGCATTTCGCAGGTGGGCAGGGTTGTCGTAGTGGGAACGAAGTTTGACGGAGGTTGTTTCTGTATGTTTCCACGGATTTCTTGACGCGTTTGGTGCAAGTTCTACAAAAGTAATTAGTAAGAGAGTATTAGGCGAAGTTGGTGGATTTGCCGCTTCATAATACCAATTCTTCCCCTCTCTCTTACCAGGAAGGTCTTTCAGGGCGTGACGAGCTTTTTGAAAACGGTCTTTTGCATGATATAGGGGCAGATGCGGGGACCACAGAAAATGGAGTTCTGATTGTTCTGGTTGGTTCTAACTCCATTTTGCGCGAATTTTGGCACGTCAACTCGAAATGCAAAAATTTGTTACCACGAGGAATCGAACTAGGGACCTCCTTTTCTGGTATTCAGAGGGCCGTTCAGGAAAAATTGAACATGGTTCTGTGGTTCCCGCATCTGCCCCTATATCATGCAAAAGACCGTTTTCAAAAAGCTTGTCACGCCCTGAAAGACCTTCCTGGTTAGCACCCTTAGCGCCGCTCGACGGCCGTTTCAAAGGAATGAACGAAATTGGGCTGTATCGACTGGTCCCAGAATCGAGTAGTATAGAAACAGCCATATTGGTGAGGTTGGTGATCGGAGAAGGTGGTAGGTGGATCGTGTTGGAGGAGCCTCCTGAGACTGATGGTATGATGGAGGGTTCACATGGGGTGAGGCCTCCCTAAAAGAGGGGGTCACGAACTTTTTGAAAAATTGTGAATGTGACGGCTGACGTCTTGGTGGCGTCTTCTATCAAGTGCGTTGAGCGCCACGTCAAATCCAATCAACTCGCCTAATTAGGCGATTAGGTATGAAAGGTATAAACATTGCGGCCATCTGTAAAACCATAAGTAGTGTTGGTAAACGGGGCTCTTCGGCCTAAAGATTTCAAATGAAATTTCATTTTCGAAGGAAGATTTTGTATGAGGAAGAATAAATGTATCGTTTTTCTTAACATGTATTCCAACGAGTAGTTTCAGTAGTTCTTGCACAAAGTCCATGGGAATAATTATATATGAGAAATGATTAATATAATCATTCTGCAAAGAATATCATTAAGCACCAGTGAAAAATAAAAAGACTGAAATGAAATTCCTGCGTTCAAGGACAGTTTAAGACGTGCACACGGCCGTGACACCGGAAATGTCCAACTTTCCACAGAATATTTTATTCCTATACTAAGCAATTAGTGTCAATGCATGCATTTAGGTTGGCATGTATTATGTACGTCCGGAATGGCGAACTACTGGCTTAGGGACAGTTTTATTTGAAAAAGTTATGGAAATAGGCAAACATGCAAACATGGCTCTGAATGCAGGTGGGATGCTCTCTTTGTTCTCTATTTTTGCGGTTATCCTTCATCTTACAGCAAGGTATTGAAAGATATTGTAATGTTGTTGCTAATAAAGCATAAATTGAGACCAAAGAGGTGGAGAAAAGAGCACATTACTATACAGGAGGAAGGGGTGCAAAAAGAGGCGGATGTAAACGAAATTTGTTATACTGCTAAATCCAGACCGAATGATCTGAAATTAAAATTTAAAGCACATTCTAATCTATCACAAATTTCATAATAGCCTTCTACCCCGACCACATCTGAAGAAACATAGTTCATCATTCGAGTTCAACGAGGTCCAAAGTTTCGTCGACCATTTTTTTCTGTCGTTTTCTGAAGCGCTGGTTAACACGTTGACGACATCGCGTGTTTTGGCATTTTGCACCGCGTGGGACAGGAGCGATTTTGCGAGCGCGCCGTCCTCACCTTACTTCCGCTTATTTTTGTTTAAAATGCACAACAACTTGAATCTCATAGAATTATTTCGGCAAGGATGAAAGCATAAAGGTTAACTATATAAATGGCAGTAGATTTTTGTTTAGAAGAACGCATAATGACCACGAAGAAGCAAAAAACATCACTTTCGCTGCGAATGAAGTTAAAAGCATTTATACCTAAGTTCTTCCATCAAATACAAATATCTTGAAACTCACAGAGTTTTGTATTAACTGCTTCTACAATCTTTCATATGAATGTTTACGACAGTGAAAGGAATACTAGGAAAGAATTGAAATGAAAGTTTTGTGCGTTCAGAAAATCTTTGCTAAATCAAGGGATATTTGACCACTCTGGCTGCCATGTGGTTTATAGTTATGCTAATGTATTATCTATAGAATGAATACAAAAAACTCGAGAAGAAGGAGCGCAAGCACAATAAAAATGAATGACATAGTTCTGACGCGCATGCGCGTCAGAATGTCCGATGCGGTGCGAAATTTCTGACGCGCATGCGCGTCAGCCTGTCGTCAACGTGTTAAGAGCAGTCATGCATAGTCAGAGCTCATGTCTCTATGATTAAAAATTGAAGAATTGATTGAGGAAATTGTGTAGCAGCTTCAGGCTAGAGCAATTGCCGTAGGACTCCTTGAGCTCGATGGTGATGCTGTAAAAGATCCTCAAACAGCGGCACCCTGTGACGACGCAAATGTTCGGTAGAGTCAGGGCGAAATGGTTTTTCCGTTCCCCCTGTCCTCCTCCCTCTCCACCGCCCCACCTTCTCCTCCTTGATTATCACCCTAACTTGAACTGTGCGTCGTAGTGCCTGTGTGGCGCAACCTAAGAAGGGATTGATAAATGTCGAATCCTTTATGCTTTGCTTGTTAATGTGTGTAGAGTTCTCGTTCCCCAAATTTCTTGGGATATCCTAGCGGAGTTACTACATCTAGGAGCCCATCCTGTGCGATTGTCGAGGATACTGGTATGTGCAGGAATGATGAGAAGAACGGGAAAACCGGCCCAGATGAAATCCTCGTTGGGATTTTGAATTACCTAGAAGGTTTCCTCTGGCATACACAGCTGTTAAACAGAGCTCGAAAAATAATGAGTGATCTCAATGAGTGAAGAACTCATGGGAGATTTGATAACTGTAGTCTCTATATGTCCTTTGTTGAATCCCCGGCATTGGATTTCGAATGTGCGGTAATTGTTTTTGTACCATATGTCAAGCTTTTTAGGATGAATTCCCCATTCACTGTACCTACTTTCCAATCGCTTCGTCTTCTTCGGAGGCCTGGAGACGGTCAAAGATTCCACCGATGGGGTGGAATCTTCGACTCACACCCTGTGTTAATTGGAATCAATGAAACGAATCTTGAATCAATCAATGAATTTCACTTCATTGACGTCAACTAACACAGGGCGTGATACTGTTCCGCATCGATGGGAATCTTCGACCATATGCAGGCCTCTGAAGAAGACGAAGCGGTCGCAACGTGAGGCCGGTAAATAAAATTTCATCTTAGAAATCTCGTTTGGCATACAGTACAAAAACAATTTGTTGACTTTTGTTTTATACTTCTCCTCAGGCTTTTAGGTGGAAAATTTATTATGACCGACGTTTCACCATCCCGTAAATGAACTGTCCCAGCCTGGCAACTCGAGGCAAAGGTACAAACAGAAGAAAGATCGAAACGCTTCGAAAAGGATTTCAAGTAAGGAACATGGAATTTATTAACTGTTTCACATGATCATCTATACGGCCTTTTCCTTTAACGCACCTAATGAATTCAGTACAGAGCCCAAAGTTTTGGAGATTTTTGGTACCTTCAGCGATATTCATTAGAAGGAGTGAGTCGAATGCTGTTTCACTCTATCTGGATTTATTTTATTCTCTAGAACCCTTATCCACATGTACAGAAGGCGTTTCAGTGATGAGAATGTCACCGAAATACGCGACAAAGTACGGATTCGATAAAATGCCCAACTACGCACACGATTTTGTGTCAATCCCCATTGAACATCTCGTACTTCCTCGAGTCGACTCTCAATACGTTCTGAAGGTAGGTAGGGATTATTGACGTCGAGTCATTTTCTACTGCTTACAACATCCCTTTCGTGATTGCTCAATATACGTAGAAAAATTGGGAAATTATTTTTATACAGACACTGAACCATTTCAGAATCTTCGTACCAAGCTAAAGATTTGTTTTTGAATGGAATGTGCACGGAACTGCGTGGTTCTTAACCACTCACTGCTCGGTGGCTTGAGATCCAACCCTTACGGTAGTTTGCTGGAAGGAAAGAATTCGAAAAACTGAGAGCTGAGAGAACTGTTCTTGAAATTCCCGCCGCGTAATTGTAAAACTTTGTGAACGGGACGCTTCGGTTTCGGCCGTCATCACTAGAAATTTTTTTTGGCCTACTCGTACTCACCCTAATCCACTCTTTTGGGACGTTTTTTCTACTCTCCATATTCTGAGGGTACTTCCATTTTTCACTGTTTTACTAGTACTGTTGGATCACTAGTACGTGGCTGCTTTACACGTTCCACGCGAGTTCCTTGGGTCGGACTAGTAATCTGTGTATCCTAAAAGTGGTCCGCCTAGTTGTCTATAGGTCCAAAAAGTGTGGTTCGAGGGCTCGATTCCTTGCATACAGTAAACTTTCGTTCGTGGAACCTTGTATCTGCTAGTGACGGCGCATGACACATCTAGGTAAAAAGGATTGGAGTTTCCATGCACGATTACTCAACTAATCCTTTCTCGAAATGAGCCGCGTATTCGACTTCCATTTGGAATCGTAATGGCATTTTGGATTCGAGTTGACCTAAGCAATAAATCGGGATTATCGGTAGGCGTATGGCAGTATTTCTAACTTCAAGACCAATGTGGTGCCAGTTCCAACCCACAGCAATGAAACGATTGTTATGATAGGCGAGTGTCGAGCGAGGACCCCTTTACCATGTGTGGCTAGCAGTACTACCCTGCCACTAACTAGCTTCACTCTACTATACATATAGCTGTATGAATTCTATTGAGGCAGACTTACCTTTTACAGGAGTTGAGAGAAGTTGACGAAGCGAAGTTGGTCGCCTACGATGTCAGTATTTCTCATCGAAGTCGAACAAAATACCTAATGAATTTTATCTCTACTGACGACTGCTTTACGAAGGCAAGCGCAGTTTTTATGACACACACCAAGCCTCCATTCATAACTTTATTTCACACACTGTATCTTCGGTGAAGCTCTCGCACATTCTGCAGGCACGATCAAATGCTTGTATTATTAATCCCATTTTTTATATTGGCAGTCAGAAGTTGAAGCCGTGTTAACTTTCAGATAGCCTTGAATAGTAGTGGTGATGTAGTCGGAATTGGCTGCATTCGTATTACCTACTCTAATGAACTCTGTGCTGGACCGTTTTATGCAGAAAATCGGGTGAGTGATGATCATCATCTTTACGAAAAGCACCTACGGAGTACAGAATTGAAGAAAAATTGATGGATTATGTTCCGGAATGTTCCCTTTACGTGGACCCCGTAAAGTGCTCATCAGAATAAATCTTTCAGAATATCATCTAAAACCTCCTTTACTTAGGTGTGATTCAAGGTTATTGCCTTTGTGATAAAATAATGTAGTATTGAAATGCGTCACTATTAGCTGCAAAGATGGAGCGTCGACTTCAGCCTAGCCTATCGCCCTCCTTAACTCCCTCCACCCCCCCCGGCTGCATTTGGGGAACACCACTTTCTTCGTCGAAATTCACTTCGTATTGCCTATTTGAACGATTCTAGTATAAGGGCGCAGGTCGTAGAAGGGGGAAATTACCCAGTGGATAACAGACGAACCGCCAAGGGTGCGGAGCGACACACAATTCGCAGCGAAGGACATGCCCTTGGCGATCTAGTAGACTCTCGACCCTATCGGTACGCCCATCGACTATAGTATGCCATCAACTGGCTGACCACTCACCACATTTCTCTAGCCGTTTAGCAGATAGAGCGTTAGCGTTGAAGGAGGGCTGCACCGATGAAAGCCGCATCAGTGCGGAAATCAGCGAGCAAGGAAACGGTTCCGATTTTCGGGTCCTAGGCCGTTTCTCATGGTTTTCTCATTCCCGGCACCATAACCACTTTCTTGTTTAAAGGACGAATTCACGATGAAAAAGCAACCCATTTCAAATTAACCTAGGGATGGTGAGTGGTACACGAAAGAAGGAAGAACCATGAGAAACGGCCCAGAACCCGAGAAATGGTACCCCTTCCTTGCCCGTTGATTCGAGCATTGATGCGACTCTCATCGCTGTGCCCTCTTCAACACTACGCTCTCTCAGCTATCTAATCACTCGCCACGTATTGAACTACGGCGAGTGATCAGATGATCGGTGGGCGGAGATCGCCGGACCCGCCAGCTTTGAGGCATGATAGGTCGCCGAGGTCAAATTTTTCCATGCGAATTGCGCGTCAGTTCGCACCCTCAGGAGGTCCGTGGGTCCCTCAACTAGGTCAGTTTCCCTTTCTTCGACCTTCATTCTAATCGTGAATTCCTCCTTTAAAGGGGTTTTTCCGAATGAAAACTCAGGATGATTGGAACTAAGGGTGTTAGTGAAGAGTAGGGATGAAGAAGAAATGAGCACGAAACCCAAGAAATGGGTGTCCTCCCTAGCCCGTTGATTTTCGCATTTTTCGCTCTTATTGTGCCTTTTCCAACGTTGACGTCCTATCTGCCATATCGGTAGGCTCAGAGCCAACTCACAGGGAAGGCAATGCCAAGTTTCCTAGGGGCATATCCTTTCCATGGGGGATTGCGTGTGGTCGTACCCTTAAGGGCCCCACCTGTCTATTTCTGTGGTGGTGCTCATTCCTTGACCTTCGTTTCTTGTCGTGGATCCTCACTTTAGATGGGCTATCGACAAGGAACTCTGTTTCCACTCATAACATTTGCGCCTGTAGGTGTAGCGCGCTTGCTAAAATGCCTTAGTATAGCTTTCCTTACGAAAATTTGCACGTCCACCAAATGGAGTCATCACATGCCTCCTTGGCTAAAAAACGGCGATGTCCGTACGTGAACAAGGCCCACAACGCTTTTGCGTGTGTTTCATTAACAGAACGATTTCTAAATGGCTACGAAGGGTTGTGAATTCTTGCACTTCTTTTTCGCTGGGCCATGTACAACTGTTCAACGCGTTCTTTTTTCTAAATTTATCACATATCTTTGTTCAAACCTTTTCACATATGATTCAATGCTTCAGAGAAATACAAAATGACGAGTCATAAAAAACGTAGCCATAACAATTGGAATGGAACATTTGCCAGCAAAACACAGTTCAAACTATCTACGTTTTGCCTTTTTCACAATGACATCAAATATTGAAATCATTTTTGAAAAACAAGCAATAAGAATACAAACCAAAATGGAATTTTTCACTCTTCCGTTTGCGATTATTTATTAGATTTCATTGCATAATGGGGTAGAACGGCGCTCAGAATCAGTGCTGAACGCCTATCGATGCACTAAAAATCTTGTATTCCTTCCAAGGGGAAGTCTAGCCCGGCGCAAGAGGGATGAACAGCATCATAGCTCTTTGGGGAATGGATGGATCCTGAGCATTGCTCAATCCTATGGATTGTTAGAACCCTATGCAGCTCTTCCTGAACTTATTGGGTTTCAATCCCAAATCCAATCAATAACTTCCCTGGAGCATGGCTATTAAGTTGCAAAGACTGGAACCAGGAGTTCAACGTGGTTTTGAAAGCGCTTTATCAGTGACAGCTTAGTGCGGAACGACATACAATGGAAATGCACGCAACCAATCTTTGGGAACGCTGAACAAAGGCCTTAACCTTCAATAGGTCGGATGTGGTACGATGGCGAGAAAGGCGGTCAAAGAAGACAAAATACGCGAGAGAGCACGTCGTTGAGAGAGCACGCTGATCTCTACATCAATGCACGCTGATCTCACCATCTCTCGCGGTGGGTGGGAAGCGTTGGAATCGGGGTCGATGGTTGCAGGCCCGTAAGGATTAGCGCCCTAACCGCGCAATTTTTGCGACGAAGCTGGAGTGATCTAGGTAGTACAGACCTTACAATTTCCCTCGTGGTATCCTTCCTACTAGTCGGTTAATCCCGGGGTTTGTCTCTAAAATGAAGTTGGTGCAGTGCTGGAAAGGCATTTCTGTCCGCTGGTCTGCGTGAGGAAGGAGAGCGGTAAATAAGTTCATAATGGATCAGTTTCAGGCTGTGGCTGAGTCACTTTTATCCGGAATTCTATCGGCCATTCCTCACATCGAGAAGTATAAGACATTTGGAGCTCTTTACCCAGCGATCAACGTTGAAGCTGCAAGGTTTGTAGTAGCTCGTAGTTACATACGTATAGAAAGTTTCAAAGTGACTCGGTTCTAATAGGGTTCCTTTTCAGTGTTTACGAAGCGCTCGGCGGCGGCCACGCTAAAATCGGCCCCTTTACTCAATGCCAGTTCACCAAGAGGATCTTCCCGACGTCAGATGACAAGGTGTATGCAATGATCGATTGTGCATGCAGTGCTGTTTGAACTACCTGTTATTTTTCAATGTGAAATCAGCTCATGTTCTTTCGTTTATAGACTTTATTCGAGCGTTGTTATCAATATTCTATTCAATTTGTTGCAATACAAGTGGGATAGGCACGCCGTATTTTTGAATACGGTAGGCGCGAAATGTATGTAAGTGGGGACTGCTGCCCGCTACTATGACGTGACGAGACGCTATGAAGTAATTCACACATTCCAGCTTTTCACGCATGTCAAGTGACTGCCCTCACCCCCCCCCCAGATTGGCTACACTCCCCCTGGCTCACGAATTTCCTCAATTCTCGTGACACCATAGTAGCGGGCAGCAGTCCCCACTTACATACATTTCGCGCCTACCGTATTCAAAAAATACGGCGTGCCCATCTCACTTGTATTGCACCCAATTTGTTGTCATATATAATGAAACTTTGAATTGAAATGTTTTAAGAGTGTCGTTAAATTACTGGGTGTTGACGCGCGCATTTGCGGCGCGCTGCACCAGAAAATTGGATGATGTTGGCAGGAGGTGTAGAGCGCAGGGCATCTACCGGTCCTTATCAAAAGTGCGCTTCAAATGAGTCCTTCACATATTATCTCATCTACCAGATCGATAGCGCAGAGAACTCCTCTCCGTCGAAGTTGGTGTTGGTCCTGTCCGCCTCCCTATTGCTCCCCTCCCCCTCCTTGTTCCAGCTGCACTGCAGCCCTTGTGGATGACGGAAGCGATGCTACGTAGGTGTTTATATTGGCGCGTTAGGTGTTATAAATCATGTAGTGAAAACATTGATGGTGCGATGCAGGTACGCCCGATTTGTTAATTGTCTGTTATTCCATTATCTGCATTATCACCCACTTTATTTTGCGGACGGACGGACAGACAAACTTACACACATACACACCAACAATTAGACACACCAAGTGGTTTATATAATGAAGAGATAGTAGTGGTAAAGAGTTCCGAAGGAGTGCTCTCTAGGATTACTAGATACAAGGGATTGCCTCTCCTAATTAGATTTTCACCGTTATGGCCGTGCCTTCAATGGTTTCCGCGTTGGGCAAACGCGTCGAATCATCTGCCGAATTGGGGCTTTAATAATCGTGCCGGCACGTGACTATCCATGGGATCAGACAGCAGCCATCGCGCGGTTAGAAGTTAGAGTGCAGACTGGTCGGAGGACGAGTGGCAGCGCGTGCTGTATGGTGCGGACACACTATATTAATCCTATTTAACTTGTCGCCAAATCACTGAAGTGCGCGCTGCCACTCGTCGCTGATCAGCCTGTGTCTACGCCTGTTGGCCGCGCGATGGCCTTCCTGTCGATTACCCCTTATCGATAGACTGCTCTGTTCAGGAAAATTTTTCTTTTGTTCTCCTGTTGCGACGCTCTTTCAAAGAATTCTTTTCAGAAGCACCCCAAGACACAGCACAACGATAATCCTTGGTAACACTCGCCCGAATATCCTTAAATACTCTAAATTCAGTTTATCCCTTACGATAGACCGATAGATAGATCGGTCTATCGTAAGGGATAAAATGCTGAATTTAGAGTCTCTACGTAAAGCGGAGGTTGAAAAATGATCTTATTACCATGTTCAAGATAATACATGGTTCTATGTCCTTTGCAGCTTCTGACTTGCTTACCTTCTATGATTCGTCTACCAGGGGTACTTCTAAGAAACTTTTCCTGAAGAAAGCCAAAACAGCAATTCGTAGTCATTTTTTCACATTACGTGCTGGAACTGAATATGCTAAGATGAGCAAGATAATCACGATACCGCTCAAACTCTCTAAGTTTCATCGGGATGTATTCCATTATCTTAAGGATGTCAGCTAATAGTTCTCCCTCAACTGTTGCTAACTCTTCCCTCTCGTTTTTGTTGTTGGATCCATTGTTTTATCTGACGGTTAGTTGCTTTACTTTATTTATTATTTAGGGTCGATTTACAAGTTTTCTACTTACGGTGTTCTGGAATTGGTTTTATAATTTTTTGGAAGCTCCTTCACATGTCTTCATAGATGTGTAATAAATGTTAAATGTTAAAATACTGGTCAACCAAGATTTACTTGTTCAAAGGGTTTACATGAACGATGAAACTTCCTTTCCAGCATTTTCGAAGCGCTGTGAGGGGGGTTAGGGTGTACTTAGTTTGAAACTTAAGTTAGACTTAGATAATTAGTGGATCACTGTAGCGAACGGTAGGACACACCGCAACTCCTTGGACTCGCCCATAAGATGACCCCACTCAATTGCTTCCACTGAATACTGACCTTTCTTGACAGCTCCACAACAAACAAAATAAAGCGAGCGAAATAAGTTCGAATTTTGAACAGTCTATGAACCAATACGTTAGGGCTGTGTGGTGGAAGCATTCATCAGTGTAGGATCAGAACCCAGGTGGAACCCTAGAGCAAAAAGCACGCAGCATAGCCCGTTATAAGTGCTTGGATGAAGAAAATGGATGGAGTGTTGCCACATTGCGGTCCGCTCGTTGTATGAGTACCTTCGTATGTTTTTTTATATATTTTCAAAAATGTATCATCATTAATCTATCAACAATTTTATCAGTGATGACACGTATGGTTTCCGGCTCTGAAAATGAGTGCAAACAGTTCAGGAGCATTGAAAAATGTCAAATAAATCAGATAAAACTATGCTCTTTCGTGCGAAATCGTGCGCCACATGGTGGCGCACGCGCTACGCAACGTGCTAATTTCAAGCACACGCTCATGCTCATACAACGGCAGACACTACATAGTTTATGACGCAATTTATGCACTGCTTCAAATATCTTTTTACATGACCTTTTGATTGAGTTTTATGCCAGTAAGGCCAAAACAGAGTTAATGCGTCATAAACAAGTGTGGAAAGTCATACTAAGTGATTTGCCTGTAGGCGAGTGAAATGGTGCGTTTTATTGGCATCGTAATCGTCCTGCAATCAGCTGTGTATCCTGTGCAATATATAATAATATAATATAATAATAATATATAATCCTGTGCACATCTCACTGTCCGTAAAACTAGCAATTTAGACACCACCTACTTCCCCCCGTGTGAAGCACATTTGTCACGATGCAACTACGTATACATACCTCCCCCTTCAAAAAGCGAGAAAGTGTCGGTGCAGACCATGCACCACAAGTGACGACGGCCTTCACAAAATGTTAATGTTTTCTGCCAATGAAATGATTAGCCTGTTGCAGTTGTATTCTATCGATTGTCACTAATTACAAGGTGGTGGTGTCCGCTCCTCCAAGTGGTGCCACTGGGAACTGCTCACTTTTGTGAGCTGAGCTGATCGCGGACATTCGAATGCAGGCGACAGGCCCCCGTGACAGGCCGGCCTACGAACACCCACGTCACATCTCAAATGTAATGTCGCTATGTGATTTCTCGAGATAATGCTACGGCGTCCGCGGGAGCCGACGCGCACTCGCAAAGCCCGGCGAGTGTGAAAAGTATGCGAGGGTCTCCGACGCAAGGACGGCGTCGGGGGGCAACTAAGCTAGTCCACAAGTCCTGCAACGCACGGAAGATTCGCGTTGCGACGTTAAATCTTGGCACGTTGACGGGCCGCTCGTACGAGTTAGCAGAAGCTCTAGAGCGCCGACGGATTGATTTCTGTGCCGTGCAGGAAACGAGGTGGTCCTGCTGCAGATCGAGAGATATTGGACGAGGCTTTAAAGCCGTGGCGGTCCTAGAACCACCAGTGGGGTCGGAGTAGTTGTTTCTGACCGCTTCCGTGACTCGATCGTAAGCGTTGATCGTTTTGACGACCGTCTAATGAAGATTGTTGTCGTCATCGAACGTAAGCGATACCACTTCTTTTCTGCATATGCTCCGCAGACTGGCTGCTCTGAGCGAGCCAAAGACGAGTTCTGGACCTTGCTGGATGAAAAGACCGCAGATGTACCGTCAGAAGAGGCTGTCATTGTCGCAGGTGACCTTAACGGTCACGTCGGCACTGCGAAAGACGGGTACAACTGTCATGGTGGATTTGGATATGGGTCACGTAACAACGATGGCGAACGAATTCTTGAGTACGCAAATTCGCACGATCTCACCATCGTGAATACGAATTTCCGGAAACGTGATTCCCACCTCATCACCTTCTATAGCGGCAGAACGCAAATCGACTTTGTCCTCGTCAGGCAACGCGATCGAGGGCTCGTAACAGACGCAAAGGCGGTGCCGTATGAGACTGTCACCACGCAACATCGACCGCTGATTTGCACGCTGAAGATCGCTCCTCCGAAATTGAAACAAATCGAGCGGTGTGGACCAGCGAGAATCAAGTTTGAAAGAGAAGGAGCGGTCGTGATATCCAACATTCAGTTGCCGCCACAGGGTGGGACAAACGCTAAAGAATAAGGAGAAGATACACTAATTACAACAATTATTTACGAGAAATCAGCTATCACTATGAACAACTTCTAACCAGATTTACTTGGAGGCCGTCGTCAGTTGTGGTGTTTGGTCTGCACCCGACACTTTCTCGCTTTTTGAAGGGAGGTTACATTGAAAGAATCTGTTCCGCACTGATCCGCAACGTTTGGCAATAAATTGATCATTTACTTTTATTGTTGTGAAGATTCGTAAATGCGCATCAATAAGCTACGTAATGTTTTTTACTATGCTGACCTTTTTATTGATTTATTCCGCATTTTGGATTGCAGTAGTAATCATGTTTGTTCATAGTCTATATTTTGATATAAATTGAGTTTTTTTTATTGTTTTGGATCTGTCGATAAAGTCACTAGTCAGCGCCAGCAGCTAAGTGAGGGTCACCCCATAGGCGAGTCGCGAAGGCGAGGCAAATTACGCGTACCCCAGAATCCTTAAAGCCACGAGTCAGGATTAGGTGACCATAGAAGGCCTTTCCATCACTAATATTTCCAGGAATGCGCTCAGAGGGGTGATGCCACACTCCTGACTCGAGATTGCGCGCCGTCAAGGTTTCTGGCCTACTACTTACAGCGATGGGTTTGTTACATCAGCTGGT